TTACTATTTATTGACAAAAATGAAAGAAACAATATAATTATAAAGAACACATTCTGTTTTACTTATATTTTCACAGTTACTGGGCTGCTAGGAAATCTCGTGATGAGCTTAATGAAGATTGACAATAAAATCAGATTAAGTGAGAGCCTTTAATACATATTATATTGTGATATGTACAAACACACACTCACGGACACGCACGCACACACACATATGTATGTATATGTGTGTAAAATAAAGGATTATATTCTTTCTCAAAAAATTACTAGATGTTATAGACCGAGGAAACTACACGTTTGTTTGATTGATAAACAGTGTCTTTAAGTTTGTTAGTCGTAATATAAAAACCCATTAACAATAATTTCTCCAAGACTATATTATGTAATGTAGTTTAGTTTAATGTAAGCGGGACACATCCAGTAGCAGCGAGGTAGTTGCGTTAGTATAAAACAAGTTATTATATTCTCCATCGTTTTGTTGCATTATGGTATTGAGGTTCCAGCATCATGATCGCATGAAGTACCCGAGCTTTATACAAATGCCCGGGGACCTATTGTTGCTCTTAAATATTGCTCTACATTTACATTTATATTATTTATACCCTTTCAAGACTTTCTTACACATTATAAGGGTAATATTGGATTTTTTAAATATTAAATAATGAATTTAAATGATCTTTACGCATTTTCAAATATTGATAAAAACTAGATTGGTAATACAAAGAAATATAAACGACAATTACATCTCCTAAATAAGTTTTTCTCACAACGAGAGTTAATCATTTTTACATTTTCTTAACAAAATAGTAATAGATTTGTAAACGAGAAAAAATATTGGAAGAAACACAATGCGATAGAAGTTTCCAATAAAGAAAAATAACAAACAATTCACATCAACTTTTCCGTTTTATCAATAAAAAGAAAATCCTTTTTATCGTCATAATGAAATTTATTCGGAAAGCATAGAAATGTTAATAGAAGGGATGTTAGGATGTTATTATCCCAAACTCCTAGACAGAAGGGTTTTGTAAACGCTCGTAAAACAATAAGCAATTACGAACTGCGATATGTTAGGGCGTGTAATGGTTTTTTGTGATAAGGATGATTCATGGGACGGTGCCCAATGTTTGTGATGCGATGTTATCATGGCGACTCTGCGACATAGACGAGTTATGTCATTGTTAAACTAGTGTTTTTATAATGTAATTAATATTATTTTAAATTGTGTAATACATTGGTCTATGTAAAAATAACTTGGTATGTAAAATAAGATGAGCAAATGGAATTAGAATGAATAAGTCCAGATAGATTTCAAATATAAAATTAAGATTCATACCTAGTACCAAATGTTTTTCTTAATTTATTTAAGAATATAATATATTTTTGTATTTAAATAGATATATTTTATATTTTGCGCTACATAAATATTATATTAAATCATGACACTCACTCACTGTTTATCATTCAGCGATAAAATTCAAAGTGCCACGACTTGATGCACGAAAATGGGGCAGCGTGGAGTTTATGTTCAGTTATACTCATATAAAATATAATAATGTTAGTGTAATGTAATTGTTTCATTAATAAACAATTTAATTAATATATTAATCTTTATATACACGTCCTTGTTAATTAGTAATCCTTTTGTGACATGCTATAACCATCAAAAGACCAATAAAATGAATGACTTTTATCATAAAGACACACCTGCATACATTTAACTAAATGTACATTATACTTCATAAAACATACAAAATATAACTTGACTTTTTTATGTTTGTTCTGTTAATTATGTATGAACGAAACATTTAGCTTTTTTTCTTATTAAGTGTATTGTTTTTTTTTGTATTTAAATAGTTGTTTTGATATACATATAAATTTATTGACTGTTCATAACTTTCTACTTAATATTATGACAAGGTTATGAAATTCAGTTTCGTTTTCTTTTCCATCTGGGATTATTTAAAACTATGCAATGCAAAATAAAAGTTTATGTGTAAAATGTAGCATGAGTCTCAGACAATTTAGATAACTATTTTTTTGTGAGATTTATAAGAATTTTGTAGAAAAATAAAATTGATATACAAAGAAAATTTGTTATATAACATTAAATAAACAATTTACTTTTGTTATTTACTACTATTTTCTATTAATTTTTTTTTGTAGGCGGTTCATTGTTGGAGATATACATATACAACATATTTTAAATAACAATAATACGTACTATTAGACACATTATTTTTTAATAGATTTGGAAGTCTGTGTATTTTAAATGTTATTAATTTAAAATTTATTATAGTTAACACACCTTTAATCTAATCTTTTCCTGTCTGCTGTCGTAACTGATAATGATGACTGCCATTTATAACTTATTTATTTAACTTTAATTAGGTGTATTTTCAGGGTAAAATTGAAACTTACTTGTTATTTATTGTATGTACATTATTTTGAAGTTCACCTTATTAAATCAAGATAAGCTTTACGTTGCGATATTAAAGTATGAACTCACTGGATTCCCTGAAAGTAACTCTCCACCCGTAATAAAATCCCACAATATTCGTGGTTCTAGGTGCACTAGACATTTAATATGGTACGTATTAAATAATCCCGTTGCGTTTAATGTCCTAATAACATCGCTGTCTTAAGCCGCTCGTTACCATCGCTTTATGGTGAGTTTTATGGTGTGAGACTTATATATTTAATATTCGTTGCTGGTAATTTTCTACGTTATTAATGTTTCAGGCTCAGAACACGAGTAAATGGCTGTGTATAATGAATATTCTTACGAGTTCAATTACAGAGAAATTGAATGATTGTTTGAATTCATCAAATTAAATAATTTTAGTGTCGACTGAATGTTCTTCACATTTTTGTTATACATATAATATTTGTGTCAGTCAAGGTCAAGACCTAAGTATAAGAACTAAGAAGACCTTGAGTCTGTTTCTAATTGTATAGTTTTATTCTCATCTGAAGCTGAACATCGATTCATGTGAAATGCAATTAAATCTAAGGAGGTGATACTTAGGTCAAAATAAAAAAAATTAAAGAAATACCAAAAAAATAAATTCATTTAATATTTCATGACAACTGCGTTCAAATGTTTTATTTGATTTTTTTTACGTTACAATATTATTAAAATGATTTAAGTACAACTGCTATTTTTCATTGAACAAAAAATTGTGTACATTAAATAAAAAAAATAATGCTAAAAGATTGTACTTATATTTAAAATTATTTCAAGTAAAACCAATAATAACTAGAATTTAAACTCTTACAATTCTATCGCAACGAAATTATTTGTTGAATTGGTCAAACGTTTTATTGAATAAACCGAGCACAGTCAGTGGAAGGGATCCGTAATTCTTTTATTTTATAAATTCTCCAAGTATTCTTTTTGTAAGCCGTCCAAATCCTCCTCTTTCTAATACATCACAACTGATGGCTGAACCTTTGCGTTACTTAGAAGCCCTGAGGCCAGCTCCACTCTAGTTGTTGTGTATGTTTATGTGCTCACTTAATCACTGTCTGTGATGTGTTATTTAACTATTGTACAAAGAAATATTATTTTATCTATGAGATAATATAATCTATGAATGTAAGCTCGTTAATAGAACAAAGCATACAGTTTAGACTTGAATGAAACTACATATATATCTTACATCTCTAACAATAACTTATTGTGTTTTTGGTTTATAAAACCACTGAGCATATAAAGTTTTCTTTAGAATGTAGGTATTTAACTGATAATGTTTGGAAGATCATTCAATTTACGGTTGGGAGATTAATATATAATTAATTGAAAAATGGAAAAGGAAAAAACAAATATGAAATCATAAGATATTGAACTAAAATTTTTAATAATAATCAGTTTGTAAGAGTAGGTACGTAATAAATAATAAAAGCAATCATTCAGAATTATCCGATTATTACTAAACTATTGAATAGTAAATAATAAATATATTAAGACTCATGTTCAAAACTAAGCATTTATAAGAGGAGCTGATGATGAGTTATGAGTCAGAATTTATGAAATGAGTTATGATAAGGAAATGAAAAATATCCCTTTGAAATGAAATTTGAATGTATTTCGAGTCGGCTGTAAATAACATTTATAATATGTATACATTTTATAACCCACTGTTTATATTATTCTGTTAAAACCGTTAAAAAATCAAGATAATTCATATTTAAAAAAGGGCTTTTTTTCAAACTTTAATTATTATGCTTAATATTCTTAAATGATGGAAGTAATTACAACATTAGTTTGTATGAAGCCAAAAATAATTATTTGAAAGAAGCCACCTTCAGACTCTCGTCATTAATTTAACAAACGTTAAATTTCTGTAAAATAATTTCATTTCACATTAACACTGAACTCACAATGAGCACATTCACAATACTAAAAAACTCCTCATTTATGTAATAAAATAAATAATTAAACATTAGTTTCTGATACACATGTAGAGGAAAATTCTTTAATCAACATCAAATATAAAGATATGTAGATAGAACTTGAGGTAGGTGACGATCAATTTAATAAATACAATTATGATTGAAAGAAATATTTCATATCCACCAATTAATTCATACATTTTTTAATGGCGTTAATGCATTTTCATGTATAATAGAGGTAATATAAATAATAAATATAAAATCAATAAAATTACACTTCGACCAGGTCAGTGTAGAGCATTGAAAAGAATAAATAATATGTATAATAAAGAAACTAATAAGTTATAAGAAGCAAACTATTGATACAACCTCTGTTCAGTCATTGGTCTACAAAGATTAATCATAAGTTATACATCGCTGCATTGCAGACAGATAGTGGACTGATAACAGTCGACAAACATCAACTCAGTTACTCGTTACCAAAAAAACAAACTGAGATAAAATTATCTATAATTGCAGCATTTAAAATGATATAAAAGAGATTGCGATCTCATCTCATCTCACTCGAAATAGTCACGGAGGTAACAGATACACATACAATACAAAATGGTGTCCGACTTCAGAAAGAAGAAGCTTCTGCACGTCTTCAACTCATTCTTCGACAGAAATGGCAGCGGATCCATAGATAAGAAAGATTTTGATCTTGCTATTCAAAACATATCGAAACTCCGCGGGTGGGCTCCTGGTGATGCCAAGTACAAGGAAGTTCAGACAACTCTATTGAAGATCTGGGATGGACTTCAAGGTCGTGCTGATGCTGACAAGGACGGCCAAGTGTCTGTCGATGAGTGGGTGGCCATGTGGGAGGATTTCGCTAAGAATCCCTCCGCTCCATTGGAGTGGCAGAGCCTGTACTGCAAGTTTATCTTCCAACTGGAAGACGCCAGCGGCGACGGAGCCATCGATGGTGAAGAGTTCTCTTCTGTCTACTCATCTTTTGGTCTGAACAAGGATGACGCCATGAGTGCCTTCAGGAGCATGTCAAAAGGTAAAAGCAGCGTGTCCTGGGCAGAGTTCCAAGAATTATGGAAAGAATACTTCGTGACCGAAGACCCTCAGGCTGCTGGAAACTTTATCTTCGGCAAGTCGAGCTTCTAAGTGACTTGAACTTATACTCGATTTTAAATTATGATTCTCATTACTTTTCGGGCTAGTTTTATTATCAATGGATCTTCAAAATTTATGTTAAACTTTATGAAATTGTATTAAAACTTATTTGATTGTGGTGAAAAAATTGTATTTTAACAGTATTAAAGTGTTGTTCCTAACAATTTATTTTAATTGTATTACTCGCCAATAAATCAATAAAGCAAATAATATAGTAAATAATAAACCTTACGATAACAGGAAAAATATCCTACGGTTTTATCAAACCACGACGCTAAATAAGATTCTACCGGTTTCTAGTTTTTATCGAAATACTGTACTGTATTGTAATGAATAGGTTATTAATTTCTCTTTTTAATTGTCAGTAAACAATATGAAAATATTAATAATGATGGAAAAAACGTGAATTTATTATTTGCTATAAACTGGCAGCAAATATAAAAATTATATGAGCTCAACTAACGCAGAGTGGAAAAGCTGAAAGACATTCTACGACGATAATAGTTTGAATTTAAAATAAAAAAAATAGAAAATCGCTGGAATGATATATCTGTCATTTCTCCATTAAAAATTATGATGGTCATGAAACGAGAAATATATACCTGGTGAATAAACCATAAAATGCAGACAACGCACCTGATTTCATAGAGAGGTCGCTGTAAACGCATTAAGGGCACTGCACAGGCGATAAAAAATTCTATAATACCAGACAATTTGGCAAATGAGTGGCGTGTCCCCGCGCCCTACCATTACAACTCTCTTTATAGCATTATTCTACACTTGATGTGAGAAATTTTGATGTTTATTATATTAAATATTTAACTTTTTTCATATTGCCATTTTATAAATAAGAATTAATTATTATCGAGAAGAAAGGGTTTCAATTTATGTTGGTAAATTAAACAAATAATACAAGTTAATATAGATACAAAATCTTGTCTCTAAAACACGGACATATGTAAATATGTATAAGATAAAATAGTTAAATATAAAGAGACAAATGTTTTGATAAACTGACATACGAAGTAACTATACCGTCTCCGATGTGACTAATATTTTCCTACTCTTTGCATGAGGCGTGGACTCTTCCATAAAGGATGCGCTCCATCTGTCAGGCCGAGACATCACTTCTATGGCTCCCTTCACCCACAGGGCTTCCCTGACATGTGCTAGTCTTAGTTACATTATAAGTTTGTGCAATGGACTTTGAAACATTTTGAACATAATTTGGCTAAATAATTGGGGATGGCTTTTTAAATAATCAGCATTTCGTTGACTTAGAAACGAAACATATTAAATTAAAATAATTATGTGATTCATTGTTAATTTTATGCACAAAAAATTGAAGTAAAATGTGCAGAAAGTTAAGTGGCAAAAAAATACTTAAATATATCTAAGATAACACGAAACCGCACCATGCGATTAAGATTATATTTATCAATAATGACTGTTTGTAATCACCTATATATAATTGTTCGCAAAAAAATTAAGCCATTTTTTGTGGAAGTTGAAGAAGAAAAAAATCAGCAAAATGGTGTCCGACTTCAGGAAAAAGAAGCTTACTTACCTGTTTAAAATTTTCTTTGATTCGGATGGCAGCGGCTCCGTAACCAAAGAAGAGTTCGAAATGATGATTTCAAAAATCGCCAAAGCGAAAGGATGGGCTGACGGTGACGAAGCTTACAAACAGGCCAAGAAGGTCATGGGTGACATCTGGGAGGGAATCCAACAAAAAGCCGACATTAACAAAGACGGTGAAGTTAGCCTGGACGAATGGATTAAGTTGTGGGACGATTTTGCAAACAACAGCGGCGAGCCCCAACCGTGGCAGGCTCACTACTGCAAGGCGATCTTCTTCATCCAGGATTCCACTGGCGACGGTGTCATTGACAAGAATGAGTTTTCCAACGTCCACGCATCCTTTGGAATGTCCAAAGAGGATGCCGAGAAGGCTTTCGACAAAGCAGCCAACGGCAAATCTGGCATCTCCTGGGATGACTTTCAAAAACTTTGGGTGGAATACTTCACCTCCGAAGATGAAAATGCTCCAGGAAACTATATCTTCGGTAATCTGAAATTTTAATTGTAATTATTAATAGAATAAGACAGAAGTTGTGATTCTTGTATGTTATGTAATGAAATAAAGTTTATTTTATTTATAATTTTTATTTTCTATAACAATTTTAGTTCCTGGACATTAAATTTATATTTCCCATGCAGCAACACTCGTTAACTTTGTTATATCACTTTTATTGGTAAATGATAAGATAGTAACTATCATGATGTCATTTATTAAGGTCAATACTTATGTAATAATTTTTTGATTGTTTATGACTTTTAGGTGCATTGTTTAATAATATTTATTGTAATTTATATGGAAATATATAAAAAATACGCCTATTACCTATGTTTTAAACGCAAGTAATTTAAAAAAGAAACAAACAAGTTATCTGATAATTTATTTTGCACACCCTTTGTGCAATTTATTCACTTTAATACAGCATTTATTTTCAAAATGTTTCGCAATGAAAGACCGTGACCCAAGACAGATCCTTGTTAAGATTAAAACGGTTGGTAATAAATACAGAATAATTTCGTGAATTACTGAATAAAAGTGGACATTTTTGTTGAATACCAAGAGTACTAATTATGAGGTGAATTATTGTTTCAAAACCGGTTCAGGACAAGGCTGTGATCCAAGTGTTGAGCGGAAGCTATTCGTTTTGTGACTAATAGAAAATCGTGAAATTAATTTTGGCAGATAATAGCTAATTCTGTCTAAATAATATACAAGACAGGATTTATTGGTAATATTTGTTCGAAAGTATGGGTACTTTGCATGGAACTGTGACACTTGTTATATAATTATGCATACTGGTAAAGAATTTTATTATGATAAATTTTTAACGCTTATGTACAATTATTAATGAAAAAATATAAAAGACTTGTGATAGATATAAAGAGAAAGATTTATAACTATTATATATCAGTTAGAAGTTTTATTCCGGTTCGATAATTACTTTCCACTCATATCTAATCACAGCAGTGATAAATCCGTCAGGCCACGTACTCATATACTTATTATCAATACAGATAGTTTAATTGATATTAATATATATTTTTATCTTGATTTAATATTTTCAGTTATTGATAGAGTTAAACAATATATAAAGTACTACCAAAATGGAAATGTATCAATACATTATTTATATGACAGAATATATATTATATTTTTAATATATACTGCTGTCAACAATCTTAAATCTTACACATATGTACGTGTAAGATTTAATGACATCAACATATTTATGTGAATATGGAAGATTATTGAATTTGGTTTTTCTTTTATTACGAAGTCCTAGTTATGATTTAAATTTAAACATAAAATATGTAGTGTGAAACAGTTTGAAAGCGTTTTACCCGCTCAGCTTGTGACTTAGACCGCGGGCTGGTATCTGCTGAAGGGACTACCTGGAGTGCTTCACGATATTTATAACCGTGTTATTAGTCGTAATCGTTTTTAAAATCTCCCTCCTTTATAATATGATCTGGACAATTTATTTCTAAGAGTTTATACCTTAATTGACCTCATTCGGGTTAAAACTTCACGAAAAAGTGCTTATTTACTTGAGTTATATGAGGGAAGTTCTGACTTTTCCAATTTCAAGTTTTTGATAGAGTATTATCACTGATTTTATGTCCTGAAACTGACATAAAAATATTTGTATATTATAAATAGTATATTTTAGACATCGTAGCTATTGTATTACTAATTGAAAAGAAAATTTGTAGAATTAATTTGAGCCATATATGTTGTATTTGTAAGTTATTAGATAAATTACAATCCAGTATGGATTTAATATATTTATTTCGTCGTATGTACGTAGCAGGTTGTTTTAGTGAAGTAGCTGTACACATTGCGGAACTGAGCCCTCCTAGACACGCGTCCCACTCGGTTACCGCAGATGAATCGAGAACCTATAGTAATGGATGTGGTATTTTATAATATTTGTAAGTTTTAAATACTTTGCGTATAATTTAATTTACGTATAATAATTTGGAAGTAAAATAATAAAGAGCTGGCTAAAAATATTATCTTATTCAAAATGTAGAATTAATATAAAAACTGTAAGAAATTGTTATATATTGTAACATAATAATGTTATGCATCACCGTTGTATTCCATTGAGAAGTTTTTTTTGTTTGATTATGTAATATGTAATCGTTCAAGGTACAATATCAAAGGGGAAGTGATTAATTAATTATATTATCATTTTATCTCAAATTCTAATCATTGATGACACTGGAGATGTTATTATACATTTATAAAGATAAAGATGAGTTCTGTGATAAAAAATATGAAGGAGTTAATAACAACTTTTATTCTTGTATGTATATTGTGTCACATTCAGTATTTCTTAGTTCTCGACACTAACAAAATTTGATGATCGACGTAGAAGGCATCTAGCAGGCGTGTACAGGAGGCCAACTCTACTTGTACTAACGTTATTTCAGTTGTTACTCGATCCTCGCTGGATCGTGTATCTACCAACATTTGATAGTAATTACTACGAGTACATACCGACGTTCAAAATTTTGCCTTTTTAGTCGTTAAACTAGTATTATTTAACCCGACTTTTACGATTTGTGAAATAGAAGTTTAAGTAATTGAATAGAGTATAAACATGACCTTTTAAGTCATGCAATTAAGATATCTCATATATAATTATATGTTAGGAATAATCATTAATATATTTGCTGTAGTATATTTCATAATTAAAGGGCGTGGTGTTATTTGATTGGTTTATTTGGGCTAAATTTTGAAGTGTTTGGATAATTTTGAGATAACAAGCCAGATAATGCGGCACCTTATCTTGGAGTTATCAAGGAAAATTATTTCTTTTTACTCGCAAAATTGTATTAAAATAAAAACTTTAATATATATGTAATATTCAGAATTATTTTATTACAGTTATTTATTCATATACATATATTTCACGTTTCTATATTACACGCCTTGATGAAAAATCTTATGCTTATCCATGTCATCAGCAAGAAAAAGTTCTCACAGTTTAAGAAAATTTATTCTTTCAATTATTTTCTAACACTATAATACACTTAGTAATTTACAAATTATTGAAAAATGAAGACATTAATAATCACTTAACCATGATGTAATTAATTGAAAAAATTTAATTTACATATTTTTTTATCAGAATTCCAGTAGAAAAATCTTTTGTAATTTATAAGTGTCTGTATGATTTCACGTGAGAAGATTATCAAAATGCCTATTTAAGTTTTTATTGAACTGTATCACTGATTTGAACTAAAATTGAAAAGAATTCTCTTGTAGGTTGTGGTACACAATAATAAGTTTACATTATAGTGTATTACGAGTTAACTTAAAATTTATAATATTCTTCTTCATGAAAAAATATCACTTTTCATATTATTCCTTAATCAAATTAGAGTGTAGTTATTTTATATGTTTCACAAATTTGTATCATATTAATTCCCTGTGAATAGAATTCAAAAATATTTATAGCACTTTTCTTCTATATATAATCTTTTTATTTTTTGTGCAAATGTACAATTAAAAAATGTGTTTTAAAACTTAAACTATTACTTAATGAATTAGGAGTTTGTAAAGATATGTTGAAACTAGAATTGGCGTGAGGAAAAATTACATTGGGTTTAAGTAAACTTATCTCCATAGATCAATATCAAGTGTCGATATACAAAAAGTATTTTCCTCGTTTGATAATAATTATATAATAATCATATAATACGCAAGTTTTTATATATATTTTATTTATTATAGTCTCCTATATTTTTTAAGTTTCTCGAGAAGCCCGTGATCGATTGCAGATATGTGAAATCAATCACACACACGGTAACAACAAAAGAATAGCTTAGGAATGGGATGAGATGATCCCAGAACAACGTAAAAATATATGAGATAAAGAACAAGTGCTTTATATAGCAAAATATTAAACATCAGCAGAAAGAAACTTAAAAAAAATTGCAAATGAGTTAATTATGTACTTTCTTTGATTCTTGACAAATTAAAAAAAACAGTTCCCAGTTAACTTTTGTTCTAGACTAAAATACATGTTACTAAGCGTATAAAATTAACAGTATAATGTTATAATAAATTAAAAATACGTTCACATAATTTACTCAACACGGTAAGAAGACAACCGACTCGCAATTTTGATTTGCATATTCTTCGAACTATAACTATACATTGAGTTAAAATAATATATCACTGTGTTCTTGAAGTTCCACTATAACTGTTATAAAATTATTAATAAATATATAAGCACAGTCAAAACAAAAGTTAATACTGTTTTTTTATTTAGTTGTTGTTTATATTGCTTATTTAATTTATCGAAATAACGATAAAAGTAACAAAACCAATATGTTTTATTGTGCATTGGTATCTAGAATAAATTATTACGATACATTATTTACGATAAAAGATAAATTGGATGAGTAAAATTTGAAAATTAAACATGATTTAGATTTCAGATAAAAAATTGTTTGTTGCATGGAATTTTTTTAAACCGTCAAAGAAATTTTCTCTTTTATACATTCACAGAAACATGTAATAAACAATTGTTATCAAAAAGAATGTTAATATATGTTATATGTTTATATTTGGATGCTGTCAGTATCGGGAATCATAAATATTATACATGACAAGGGTCTGGTCGGGCCACAACACACGCGTCATTCAAACAGATATGATATCCCATGTTCTATTGATACAAAATATTGGAATAGATTTAATAATTTAGATGCTGTACTAGATGACACCGCTAATACCCTTAGGGGTGGCGTTTCTACATATATTCATCTAATTAATTTTTAGTTTAGATTTTGAAATGGAATTCTAGATGTGTTGTAGCTGCAAATCAAATCCGCTCTAATTATTAACTGGTCAGAGGAATATTCACAAAATTAAAGTAAATGTAGTGAATTGTTCTGAGTGTTTTAAAATTATACGTTTTATGTTTTACATTCAGAATCCAAAATAATTTTAAGTCGCAGGTAGATTTGTTTATAGAGTATCTATTTTCC